AGATAAACTGTTTATAGTTGAAATATTGTTTAAAATTTACATTTTGATTACATTTATTTTCAATAGATTCGAACATATATAAAGATGAATATATACTATTACTATCAGCGATAATTTTCCTGCAACTTAAAGTAGATTAACCCTGGATAAAATTATAGGCAACGAAGGTAGAAAGCTTGAACTGATTTGTTTGAGAAAATATCTTGACAAAGAAAAAGCAGACTTTGATTCCTTTAAAAATCAACACGCTACCAGATTATTTTCTGATAAAGATAAAAAATTTTTTGACGTGGATCTGAATGAAGAATTTTTGATAGATGATCTTATAACTTTTTTTCAAAACAAGGATTATTCCTCAATTTTCACTAAATTCTCCCATTCAAATAATGTCTATTTATTAAATATAATACAACCTCCCTTCCTCTGCTGTGAACGTGTGCTTAGCACTGCGAAAGATGTGTTGAGTACTCTCTTGTTTATCTGATCAAAATTTTGAAAATCAATTGCTGTTAAAAATAAAAAAATTATAAAAATATCTTATCTCATAATATATTGTATAATTTTGGAAATTTTGGTATATATTATTTAATTTTTCAAGTAGTGAGTAATATAAGGCGTTCCAGTAATCTCTAAGGTAAAGAGTAACGGTAACGCTAACACCTTCTTTTTTTTAACGTAACGAGTAATGCATTTCTTTTTGAAGTATTGTAGCACTAGTTTAAGTATTTGGTGACATTGTTATGTTTTTTGTATTTTATTCTCATTTTTATTTTATGTTTTTTTTCATTTTTTCATAAAAAAATTTTTGTTGCATTTTTTAGCTATTGAATAATACAGTGTTGTGATGATTTAATGAAACATATCGACGATTAAATTAAAACCCATTCATATAAAAATATTTTGTTTGCAAAAATAATTAAAATATAGGCAAGCAATATTGAAAATTCTTTTATCCTTCCTTGTGTTATTTTAATTATTTTTGCAAACAAAATATTTTTATACGGATGGGTTTTAATTTAATCGTCAACATGTTTCATTAAAGATTAAAAAATGTTTTATATATAACCAATAAAGATTTCATCATAAAACTTTTTATTTTCATTAAGTCGACCTAAAGCACGGCCTATAAGCTTATATATATTTCATAATATGGCATATTTTAGAAGTTTAATGTAAAGTATATATGTAAAATGAGTTTAACCAACCAAATCATATAATTTTTAAACATTAGACGAGAGCTAGAGCCAAACCTAATTTGGGTGTGCAATGGGGTGTGGTTTAAAATTTTTTCAAAAAATGGGCATGCGGGTTAAAAATCCGTTTCTTGCAAACTTCTAATAACAACTATATTCTCCTATCATCTACCCTGATTGATCATGTTTTTTAGTTTAGAATAGAAAAAAATCTGTTAAACACCGGAGATTTCCCATTAGCCGGGAACTCTCATACAATTCTCTATTTATTTCTGTCCGATTCCACATCTCCGCTCTCAGTCATTCTCTAATCCTACCCTAATCGGACCATTTCTTCAAAAGTAGTATCCTTCTTCTACACTTTCCCTATAAAAAACATATTACCTTTTTATTTAAACAACAAAATATGAATAGGTACTTTTTTTAAAAAAAAACATTAAAAAAGGCAAATCTCTTGAAAAAAATATTTTTTTTTATTGATTTTCTCTTAACCTTGATAAATTATTCGGGTTTATATAAAAAAAAAGCTTATTTAATTATTTTATATATTTTTTTGAAAAGGTAAAAAAAAAAGAAAGTAAAGAAGGAGCACACAATAAGCAATCATTTAGTACATGGAAGGAGTATGGAAGGGAGGGGGAGGGGAGAGTGAATTTGTTTTCACTAAATTTTTTTATAATATTTGAATGCTATTATGCGAAAATTTTCTTTATTCGTGAAATCAGTCAGGTGAGAAGGGGCTAACTATCATTATTAACAATCTACGAATATAAGAACTTTTATGTGAAAATATTAACAACTAGAGATTTTTTGGTGGGTTGATATTTTTAAAAAAAAATAAATCTAGCATTTCTTAACAAGGTATAATAATATTTATTGGAGAAATTATAAATAAAATAATTACAAAGATGAATCAGATTTATACTTTTTATTATTTTTTTTTAAAAAAATAACGAAATTATGGATATAAAAAAAACAATTATAGAAATAGGTTAATTGTCGTTTTAAAACATTTTTTTCGTCTTTTTTTTTCTCTAATAAAAGAAGAAAAAAATTTTTCTTCCCTTATCATCACATATATTATTGAAGAGTAACTTTTCTTCTAAACAATGGCGTCTTTTGTATATTCGCAGGTCCTCGGTAAATTTTTTTTTTTTTAGTATACTCACTGTCAATTCATTCATAAATGCATTTTAAAGCCTTGAATGCAAATCATCTATAGACCACGTGTTATACGCCATTTTGGTAACCTATAAAGGATCCAGATTAGGGGTCTGCATTGGACCGGTTTTTGAACCAAAAGCTCGCCCACCCAATGTTTTAAAAAAGCTTAACCGCCCGCCCATAGTTTTCAAAAAAATGTCTAAAATTACTCACCCGCTCACCCATTAGTCTAAAATTTTTTACCCGACAGCCTATTTTTTATAAAAAAATTTTAACCCAAGCCCGCTTATAAAATTTAATTATGGCCATTATTTCAATTTTTTAAGCATCTAATAAAAAAAAAATTCAGCATTACACCTCTACAAATTGGATTTAGACCCGATTTTATCATTTTGTTTAATTGAGAATTGTCTTTTTGAAATTATCCGCTTATTTTTTTATTATCTATAAAATCTTCATAATTTACAGATGAACATTGGTGCCGAAGGAAGAAGGAAGCGCCACTTTTGTTATTATATTTAACAGGCGCGTACGCAGGAATTTGGTCTGAGGGGGGGGGGATAATAAAATTTTTTAAGAAATATTATTGTTATTTAAAAATATTAAGCATAAATTTATTAGAACTAATAACTTTTCTAATACAAAATTTTAAATAAATGTGAATTACAAAAAAATTATATATATAAACCGGCATTGAAAAACTATAAAATAAATGTGAATTACAAAATATAAAGTGAATATAACTACGATATGAATCACTTAAATGACCCAAAATTGAAATTTGAATTTTTTGAGCCTTTAAAATTTATATATAAAGTATTTTGTATGTTTTGAGCTAATTTTTCATTTATCCATCCTTGCTTAGCGTTAAATGTCTATGAATGTTCAAAAAATCCAAATCATTCAATCTACTTTCAGAAGTTGTATTTCATAGGTATGTTTTTCAGAGACTTACAGGCCCGGGCCCCGGGCCAGCCCGTGTTATAATTTTTCTTAACATAACCGGGCCGGACCCGAAATTTTTTAAAAAATATCCGTGCCGAGCTGTATTTAAAACTAAATATTTGAAATCGCCATTATTAGCTATTAAAATCTATAATAAATATAATTTATTTTAAAAGAATTCGGGCCGGGCCTGAAAATATTATTTTCAAAAAATCCGGGCCGTGCCCTGAAAATAGTCTCTACAGGACTCTGTTATTCTTCTTAAAAAAGAGAGTGTTTATGGGAAGAGTTGCTAATATATATCCATTTTAATACTTTGGGAATATAATTTAAAATGTGTTTGAAATAATGCAAAGCATCTATAGCATTTTTGGGACTATAGTTAATCTTTTAATCATAGTTCTTCAGCTAATAAGGCATCATAAGATACTTTAACATCTTCATGATAAAAATCTAACGAATATTTATTTTTCTCCTATCATAATCTGAAAAAAAGTTGGAAAGGCTTTTGTGGATATAATATCTGCGGATTTGTAGTGCTGTTTGATGAAGTAACATTCATATATTTGGGTTATAAATGTATCTAAGAGAGGGGACATTTGAATGTTTTTACGATGAGTTTGCTTGCTGCAAGTAGAGGGGGACAAATTTTAAACACGTATAGCTCTGCTATTAACTCAACAAGAACATATAAAATATGTTCTTCTTCAACATTAGTTCTAATTTCCTTGAGTTTAATAAAATACTCTCCGTTATTCTCATCTTCTTAATCAAGTCAATGTCATGTTTTTGAAAAGTATTACATAAAATAGTTGTATAATTAAATAATACATTCAATGAGAAAAAAAAATTTGGGGTAAGTATTGATACCAATAATTTTCTTTCTTCTGAGGAAATATTTCTTTCAAGCCATTGTGATATTTCAATAATAGCATTAATAATCGGCTCTTCTAACTCCATAAAAGCTGTTACTGCTTGATGGAGGAGACTCGATCTCGTTGGGCAAGCTTGCAATTTCTTTCTTCCTGTTGGACAAGGAGTTTCAGAGATAATTATTATTTGACTAGAAATTTAGATAAATAATACGCCACTAAAATTTGAAAAGGTAAATTACGCCAAGGAAAACTTGAAATCGAAATTAATTGATAAAATAACTTAGTAGATGAATGTGATAAATAAATGTAATTAAATATATATATGAGATAGGAATAAATATTAACAAATATAAATTAATATTAACAATAATATTTTTGAAAAATATAATCCGGCATCTGCATTTTTTGGCTTTGGGGGGGGGGGGATATGTTCCCCTGCCCCCCCCCCCCCCCGCCGCTGCGTACGTGCCTGATATTTATAGATAGATTTGCAATCATTAATGAATTAAATTGTTTCCACATTGAAGATTTGAGTTTTTGTCTGATTCATTATCTTGAAACTTGTAAAAATTATTTTTCATTTTTTAGATATATATTCTTTATTCATAATATAATTTTTAAATAAAAATTTTATTAAAAAATATTTTTTTATTAAAAATTATGTTATAAAAAAATAAAATTTATAAATTATATAATAAAATAAAATAAAAATGAAAAGGGCAAATACTTCCAAAATTTTTTTAACCCACTCGCCTCCCGTTCCAGGATAATTTTTTATGATAATTTCAAACTATTCTGAATATTTTTATCAAAAAAAATGCAGGCAAGGAACCTGAGAATATTGCTGAAGTATTAAAGTACTACAGGCCCGAAAGTTTAGAGAAATTGTGCCGGAAAACTAAATTCACCAAAAAGGAAATCCAGCACTTCTATCAAAATTTTAAGCAGGTTAGGATTTTCTTTAGATATATTTAATATAATATTACATTTTTCTGGCAATTTCACCATAAAAAAAGTACTACTCCAAACATATTTTTTTTTTGAACCTTTTTAATATATTTAAATATGAAAGTGAAGAAGTTGTTGATGGAAGGGAAAAAAAGAAATGATGGATCAGGAAAAATAATGTGTTTTAGAGAAGAGGGGTAGTATATGCTAGTAATTATTGATAAGGTTTTGGCAATCAGAAATTTAAAATAAAGTGGGAAGGGGTTTAAGATAAATTTATTGTGATTAAATTGCTAACTAAAATCTAAAAAACTGATAATTACTTAGTTTGTATGATATATTTTATAAAATGAAACTCGTCAAAAATAAATATCATTTGTAAACCATCTATATAATAGCAGTAAGTATAATAATCTAGGGCTAATACAGAATAATCAGGTCACTATATATTCTAAAATAATTTTTTTTAAAATTATTTCGGCATTTCAGTGTTTTCTTGAGAGTAAATGAGAAAATCAATTAGAAGGGACTCGAAAAATTTACCCTTAAACCCTTATTTTTTCCATACCTCCTCAGAAGTTTATCCAATATTTTCCACCCCCTTTCATTTTATATAGTTAGTATCCTTATGGTAACATTAATATACAAGCAGATTAAAAAACAGAGAGCAATATAATATAGAAAGTGTATATATATATTATTATTATTATATTATTTTTATATTATAATATATAAAAGCAATTTCCCAAAGGTGCTATTAATCAAGAAGATTTCAAATCTATATTTGCACAGATATTTTTATCAGGAAGTAAGTTTTTATAAATAACATCAAAAACTTATCATATGAATGAATTTTTTTTAAAACATATCTGTAGGATAATTTAATTTAACAAAAATGTAACTAGCAAAGAGATAGCTAAAAAAGAATATTCAATAAATTTTCCACTAAAAACTACCCCAAATGTAGCTATTAGAGCTATGAATACATTAATAAGAATATTAATAATATTTAATTAATTAATTTATTTATCATGATAAAAGATATGTTGATTGGTCAGTCAATTTGACTAATCATGGTGCCATCTGTCGGGGTAAGGGGTGTATGCTACAATAACTTTATTAAAATTTACGCACATTAGCGTTGTCCCTTGTCACAGAAAAATTATAACCAAAAAAAAACATTATTTTTTCTATGTTATTCTATTTTAAATTTTATTTTATTTTATTTTAAAAATTAAATTAAATTAATATTTTAGCCTGAAATATTGTCTAAATTTTAAACCGGGTTTCGGATGAACTTGCAAGGTTTTAATTAATTTCTCACCTAGTGTTATTACCCTAAATTTATTGTTAGCGCGAATTCGCGGCCAAGTATACAAAAAAGAATACAAAAATACAGCATATTTTGTGTAATTGGCTACCAATCTTCGCTAACTAAAATTCAGGGTCAAACGGCTCTTGCTGATTAAATTAAACACTTATTTATACAATAATGTTTTGAAAAAATATTATTATTATGTCGGGTAAGCGGTTAAGTTTTTTTCAAAAATATTGTTTCATTATAGGACCTGAAAAATACGCTGATATGGTTTTCGCCACTTTAAACAAAGATAACTTGGGATTAATCAATTTCGAAGTAAATTATATAAAATATTTCAATTTTATTTTATTATGTTTTTAAAATATCATTAATATATACTTGGCAAAATTAGATTTTTTTTTGCTCTTAGGAATGATATATTATTTAAGCTTAGTTTGAGCTTTGAGATGTTATCATGAATTTATACAATCCAAAAGTAATTTTACTTTTGCCAAAGGGTATCAATAAGATTCAATATGCCATTTATACTGTATCCATGGTGCTATCTCTTAAAATTCATTCTCTAATTAAATGATCAACCGCCAGGCTTTAATTGTTCGCAAGGCTTATATCAAAATATAGAACCTGACTGAAGGCCAATTGCGAAATATCAAACAAATTCAAATTATTTCATGTAGATCAAAGATAGGGCATAAGAGCATAAGATAAATCTTTTTTTTAAAAAATCGAAAAGTCTATTACTGTTATTGCGGAAAGTACACAAATCTAATCTAGAAGTATTATATAAATTTATATATAACTTTTCAAAACAAAACAAAAAGACACTTTTAATATTCATATCAACCGTTTCCCGTGGTAGCAAAGAAGAAAATTACGAATGGATATTTCACCTTTACGACATCAACAGGGACGGGTTCGTCACGAAGAATGAAATTTTAGACGTCGCTATAGCGATATATTACTTGCAAAATCCTGTCCTAAATCCTCCAACGATTACCAGGATAATAGCTCACGTTGATAATATTTTCAAAGTTAAGTCATTAATAATAAAATATAAGATAATACTAACTAATAAACGCGATGATTAATGGTCCGTGGTCCACCCTTATCATTTTTTAAAAACCATATTATACATTAATTTTTAAACTATAATTATAAAACGTTTTTATTTTTTTTTTATTAAATGTTAATGGCAATGGGTATAATAATCAAGAAATTTGTGAAATATCTTTAAAAAATATCTGAAAATCTATCGGGCAAAATCAGATTTATAAAAACGCTAATCAAATTATTTGAACATTAAAAAATAACAAAAATAATTATTAAACGCGCATTTTTTTAAATGTAAAGATCTGATTTTAACTATATTAAAGTTATGCGGCGTTTTTTTTAAAAATAACCCAAATTTAATAACATATATTTTTTTGAACAGAAAATGGACACTAAAAGTTACGGAGCAGTGAATCGCGAAGAATTTATAGAATTTTGCAATGATAAAGTATATACGCCTTAAATTCTCTAGATTCAAAATTAGTATATCTTACAAAAAAAAAATATTTACATAGATATATAGATAGTAAAGATGGGTAAATCTGATTAATAACAATAAAATTTAATTATTAAGCGTTAACTAATAGCTGATATGAAATTAAGGAAATTTTTTGAAAGTAATCGAGATTATAGCTAAAAACAAACTCACCCTCCTACTTATTCTATCATTGCATCTTAGGTCGTTTTTGGAAGAAAGAAAAATAATCATTTTTTTTAAAATCTGTTTATCATTTGAATTCAAGCTACATTGGTCGAAGTATATTTGTGATTAATCTTAATCATCTAAAGTGAGCACTTTTTTAATGTAGAAATCGATGTAGTTGACACCGGACGGGTACTTAAAAACTTTAACCCGTATTAGTTTTTTTTACTATTAAAGAAAATTACATTAATTTGATAAATTCTTTAAATTAGCTAAATTCAAGCTGATGTTGTAATATTTATTCTATAAATTTTACACAATTTTGTCATGAAATGTTGGATTAAATTCAGTATAATATATATAAAAATATATCAAAAATCGGTTTGAATTAAAAGAGATTCAAAATTTCGCGATAAGATATGTGAAATTCATAGTGGTATGCATAGACCGAATATACCGGTAAAAAAATTAAATCTTTTAAAAATTTAAAAAATACGCGGTATAAACGATTTAAGTATTGAGGATGTAGATACTCTTAATTCTAATATAACATAAGACATATTATTAGTGCTGTAAACGTTAGTTCAAAAAAAAAACGCGTTATTCGCTTTTCAGAAATATTAACGCGTTACTTGTTTTTTAAAATATACTAAATATCAGTACCTGCACTCCCGGCCCTAAGCCCGGGTCGGGCCGTATTTTAATTTTTCTTGAAAATTTATATTAAAAAAATTTACAGGCCGGGTCGGGCCATATATTTTAAAACCAAATATTTGAATTCGCCATTATTATCTGTAAAAATCAAAGCCGGGCTTGAAAATTTTTATAAATAATATCCCGGGCCTGGCCAGTAAAAAAATATCCGGGACGGACATGTTCGAAAAAATTTCTTAAAAAAATCTGGGCCGGGCTGGGCCGTACAAATTGTACCTCTGCAAGTTTCTGCTAAATATTATATATAAATATCCTTTTTATTAATTTTTTTTTTACCCCATAGATAATAAAAATATAATTATCAATAAGTATTAAAAGAAAAGTTTATTTTGTAATAATTTTTTTTATAATAAAAACAAAAATAAAATAAATAAGACATGGCTTTAGAAGAAAACATGAACTTGCAGGATTCGAACCAGAACTATAGGATTGTGATACATACACTGAACCGACTAGACCACAGGCACACTCTAAAACATTAAATTTTTTGTAAAATTACAACGCTATCTAATAATTACATAAAAAATTAATAACGTTCAATGGGATGCTCTGAATTAAAAACTCGGCTATATTATTTATATTTTTTAAGAAAAAACTTTAATAAAAAGAAAGACATAAAAGTAGCTACTGGTGTTTCTTTTCCTCAATGAAAGTAACGCCATTAGTAATACAACGTTACATTTAACAAAATTTTTATATTATTTGTTTCTTTCCTATAAATAACAAGATTTTTATATTATTTGTTTATCTTTCCTTTTTAGAAATGGGATATATTGGAATCTATCGAATTTCTAAAAACAAATTACATATAAAATATACCGCGACAAATTATCAATACATTCTGGGGCTTCAGGATTTCTCTACAATAAAAATGTCACGTTCGAGAAAAGAGAACATTGAAATATAATAAATCTTTTAAAACTATTCACATGTTATGCGCTAAAGCTAAATCTAAGTAATTAAATATTATTATAATATGAGACAAATAGTAATCCTTAGATTAAAAAATGCTTTTAATTATATTAAATATATTAATCATGATTTTTGTGAACTGTAATTTTAAATCTAAAAGGGATGATATATATGCACAATCTGATTCTTTATGTCCTTAGGCTGGGATTTAGTGTCAGCAAACGAGAGAGATTTAGTATTATATTATAAAACACAACATTTTTTGTATTAGTTTATTTGTATAAGTTTTGAATGTATACTAAAATATAACATTATGAATGCGCATGATTTTATTGGCTTTATAATACACACAAAATAGTATATTATATATTAATATATATAAATCTTGATTTAATTGATATTCAGGGTGCTTTCGTTCTAATGGGGACATCCACAATTTTCAATGACAAAGGCGCTATAATTTATAAAATATAGAAAATATATTAAATATTTTAATTTCCCACCTATATTATCGCTCACGGTTAATGTTTATAATTAGTTGGGTCGAGTAAATCAAGGTAGATTTTTATTACGATTAAACCCGCTTGACTCGATCCTTCTAAATAACAACAAAGGTTTCTTGCTGAGTTCATTTTTAATTCGCATTTTAGTGTTTTAAATTTTTTTTTCCTGGGGCACAAAAATATTATAATTCCAAGGTTCTAACCCTGTTTAAATAATTATAACAATATACTTTCTTCCCTGATATAATTCATTTCATTAATTCATTTTAAATTTCGAGACGAAAATTAAATTTGAAAGATAATATTAATTAGATGATATACACGTAGGAATTAGAAATTTAAAGGGTTAAGGCCTATAAAGGTATCTGGATATGAAATCCGCACTATAAACCTTTTTTTTTTATGTTGGCAGAAAAAAAATTTTTCTTCTCGATTATCATATGATATATAAATAATAATACTCGGATATTAGATTGAAAACTTCTGCCATATCTGAACAGGCCCGATTCTTGACTCGTTCTTTTAACTTCAATCTATTCATAACATCCATCGTGATACTAAAACTTTTGCAAAAATCTTGAAATTTTTCGTGTGTAACGCAGATCTTGTTAAAGTTTCTTTGTCCGAATTTAAAATAATATAATAAAGAATAATAATCGTGGAAAGGATATTCTCATTTGAACTTTCTTTTGCTTTTCTTTACTATCACTTTGATTAATTAAAATAGCAATATGATTTCGATCAGCTAATGTGAATCTATAAGTTTGGTTGAACAAGTTTCTGAAAATCTTAAACTTGTTTTTGAGCTCAATAAACATTCGACTTTTATATAAATGACTTATATTCCCCTTCAAACTGAGTTAGGATCTAAACTAGGGTTAACTGTTATAATCACACGATTTACCTAAATTTCTATTTGGTAAATATTTATCTATTTTTTTTTTAGTAGTTATGAAATTTTCTGGTCTTGAACCTATTATTGTGACTTCAATCCATCTTAATAAGACATATGGGGATATATGGGCATCGTTTAAGATGTTATTTTAAACGACAATCTTATTAAAAGTTTAAACATGTTGAAGGATGATATAAACCAAAATGTATTTAAAGAGACGGTTGTTTAGAATATAGCGAAATTAATTAAATAGACTTCAAAGTAGTGATCTGCACCGGGCTTACTTTTTCAAGCCCGGCCTTGTCCGGTTCGAACCCGAAACTTTTTCTAAAAATTTTAAATTCTTATAACATTTAAAAGATTTTAATAAAATTGAACTATTTCTTGCCAGTTGAAAAAATTGGCTAAGCCTTGGATTAACGGTATATTTTTTTTCAAGACCTTGATCGAGGCTAATTAGCTTTCTTTAAAAATTAGGTTTAATCACTTTTGAAAAATATTAATAAAAAAAATTTTTTTTTCAGGAGGGGGAGGAGGGGTGCTTTAGCCTTCCTCAAAATTTAGAAATGGGGCTAAAAATCAGGGAATTAGCTCCCAACTCCTTGCAAAACAACCATGATGATTGTAGAACCCAAATGATCTCCTATGCTTTATGATTATGTCATCTATCTAATCTTATCTAGGCACGGATTTCCCTTATATATTTTATTGGAGGTGTTTGGTTAATGTAGGCCATTGACTAAATTAGATTTTTATAAAATCAATTTTAGTTATTCACTTTTTTTGAAATATAAAAATGCCTCTTTCTTAAAAAAACCTAAGTGAATATGTTAAAATATTTTTACATATTTTCTTTCAAAATCTTGTTTATAGTGATATATTGTATACACATATTAAGATGGAGAAGAAAGTGGAGGGGGGGGGAGGAGTCTGTAGGGGGGAAATTTTTATTAACCATAAATGATATTTACTAGAAGACAAATTTTATAAGGGGAAAGAGATATTTCTCTTTGCCCCCCCCCCCTCCTACCCTGGCTACTCCTATGACTAGCTGTATTTTTGTAAAATTACTGCATCAAAATTAATAATATGGGTAGCAAATTAATAATAAATTATTCATTATTTTCTAACTAATAAATTGATATCATTTCAATTTAATTTAAAAGATTTGAATTGGTCCGGGTTTAAGTCTGGCCAAAATTTTTACAAATGATATTGTTTTATGCTAAGTTCTGGGCAAGGTTACAAGCTAATCTTGCAGGTCTCTGACATATATAATTACTTATATTTTACAAATCTATTTCGCAGTAAAACAAATAAAATATAATCATATGACAATATATAAACTTTTTATCTCCATCGGGACTTGAATGCGATCCATTTTCTTCTTGTAATAGTTCATCTACCGCGAAATCTCCACCTGATTTTCTGTCTTTCTTGTAAAACTTATGCCTAAATAATTTTTGTAGTTTGATTAATTTTTCAGATAAGGTTTAATTAGCATGTTTCACAAGATTATATATAGTACCAAAATATCACTGCATATCAATTTTTTTTTAGTCTAAAAAATAAATTTCTATTCAGTATTTAGAATTTTAAAAAGATAATCTGAAACATTGGATTTAATGTCTATTTTTGAATGGAACTAGTTATATTATACCTTCCAAGATACCATATTAAACTTTATACAAATCGAATAGTAATAAGAAGGGTTATTGACATTTTAATTTGGGAGCGTGTGGGTGGAAGCTATGTTTTTTTATAATTAAGGAGGGGGAATTGGGGGGGGGGGGCAATCATGAAAGTGATATATAACAAGGATAAAAAGATTTTATTTTAAAAAAGGAATTCTTCTAACCCCCCCCCCCCCTCTTTATGATGAATAAAGAAACACACTAGTTACTCGAATAATTGTAATAAAAGAAAGATTTATACAATTAGATTGTTAGTGTGGTAAATTATGTAAATAAGATTTAAATAAAATTAGTAAAAAAAAATGAACGCTTACTCGTTTTCCAATTTTAGATGTTTGGCGAGGGAAGCAAAAAAAGATCGAATTTTGAAAATGCACTTGTTATATGAACCGGCCAATTTAAATAATAAAAATCTCGTCCCAAATAACTTCAATTTCCATTGAAAATTTTTAAGATTTTTAGGAAAAAGTTTGCTGTTCGTCATTTATGGATCGGCTAACAAGTAATCGGCGGTAATAAAATTTGTAAACTTCATTTTTTATTTTCACCGTTTATAAATAGTTGCTAAAAGAGTGGCAGATGTTTAAAGAGATATTAAATTAGATATTTAATTATTTTAAATGCCCATTATAGCGCAGGATATTATTTTTCGAAAAATAAAACATTTTATAAAAAAAATACAAATTCTTATATATTTTTTTAAATCAAAAAGTTAAAATATTTAAAAATATTATATTTATTTAAATTGATACGCTTACATTTTTTTTTAAAAAAACATCCAAACATTTATTAATTTTAAAACATTTTAGAGTTAATCATTCTAATTTTTTAATCAAAATTTAACTATTTTTTAATAAAATAATATTATTCTAAATATTGTAAACTTGGAGTGTTATGAGTTCAAATTTGTGAGATATGATTTTCAGTGCCCTCTCTATCCCAGGGGCCTAACTAGAATTTTTAATTTGCCAGAGGCCAATAGGTGCTCAAAGTCAAAAATTCTTAATATATATTTATTGGTTCAAGATTTGGATGTGCCTCGAGTCTCCAAGAGCACCCCCAAATGATTATACTGCTCTAGCCTCTAAGAATTTAGGCAAGATATTATTTGTCGCACCTTACAAACTCTAAAAATAAAATAATTTATAGAGGCTAGGGAAGGTAATAAATATGTTTCAATCCAATTTTTTTAAAAAACAATTTCTAAACATGGGGATATCTTAGACATTCTTAATCGATATTCTCAATTATCATATTTAACAAATTGAGAATATTTAAATATCCCCCCTTTTTAGGAATATCTTTAAAAACTCATTTAAATATTTGATTCTCTAACATCTAATTATATCATAAACAATATAATCTTTTTCAAGAATGTACAATAAATATTCCCATTTTTTCGCTTTTTTTGAATTTGCGTTCACCCTCTCATGGTGCACCTAAGTTTTCATTTTTTTTTCCAAATTGACATTTTGGCTATCTCTATCTTTTAGCCTTAAACTCCTTCCCATACCCTTTATAATTAAGAGATAAGAAGACGAAGCTGAATCGATGTTCTAGTTTCATGTTCAATTTCCAGTTCTAAACTCTATTAAAGTGCCTAAAAAAATTTTTTTCTTAAAATTTAAATATCTTATAAACCCTCTAAACTAAATCACACAAAAAATTTTTAAAAAATAAATTATTCTCGCAACCGGTTTCTGGAAATTAAATCGGTTCTTGATCCCATAAATTTTGGGTTTCAGGTTCCATTTTCGATTTCTTGATTTATCCTGAACTATGGTTCCTATATCAATATTATTATTTATAATTTTGTAATTTTTGTCCTAAAAATACAAATAAATAAACGGTATCCCGTCTTTACAGAGAATCTTTTATAGAGAATGCAAATATGAGAAACTTTTATAGAGAAAACAATTGTAGAGAATGTCGTTTATAAAGAATATCGTTTATAGAGAATGATTTTATAGAGAATATATTTTATAGAGAAACTTTTAAAGAGAAAACAATTATAGAGAATGTCGTTTATAGAGAATCTCATTTATAGAGAATGATTTTGTAGAGAATCTCGTTTATAGAGAATGATTTTATAGAAAATTTATTTTATAGATAAACTTTTAAAGAGAAAACAATTATAGAGAATGTCGTTTATAGAGAATCTCATTTATAGAGAATGATTTTGTAGAGAATCTCGTTTATAGAGAATTATTTTATAGATAAACTTTTAAAGAGAAAACAATTA